TCAAAATTGTTGCCATCTGTGTCAAAATTAAAAATTGCCTACAACATTTGTCACTTAGTAGTACTTTTAATGACTGTGTTAGTCAGTATCTGACATTTGGTCCAGTGTATATTGCACCACTGAGATCCTGCACAGATTGCAGGTTACAGACACCACACAAATGCATGTGTCACTCAGATCACACGTGATAAAACAGACATGGATATGAGGCATTTTAAATTTGTCTTACTTATCAATTTTTAAAAGTTTTCATCTACCAACCCTCTTTCAGCCCTCCCCTCCAATCTACATAGATCCAAATCATCTATAGCTTTAAGTCAGAAGTTTGGAACTGCAGAGATCACAGCAAAACCCAACCATAAGCAATGTCCTGCCTTGCTTATGAGGAATGAGTGTTCTCTACTTAAAGGCAACTTTCATTAGGCATATACTTTGAGTTTATCAGAAACAAGTAATATTCAATAGTCAAATATTAGACTATTGAATAGTCTAATACTCTGGTTTGTTTATAAGTGTTCTTAAAGGGTAGAGGAAGAAAAAGCAACAGTTTAATATATTTCTACCATTATTTATATGGATGCAAAGCTAAAGAGGCTCAGGTGAAATCAGCAGAGATCTCCAGATGCAATGCCATGGCTGACAGCTGCATTTGGCTCAGTTGCTTTTAAAGCTCAGCAGTGGCTATCATCCTCATTCAGCCACACCAGCACAGCGAGCAGCACTTTGGAAAGAAGAGGATAACTCCTTAGTGGCACATCTGTTAGGTATAGATGGCATTCATGTGAGTAGCTTTGCCAATGGATGACATGCCAAGTCCTTTATGCTAAAAGGCTTGTGCTTGATGTTAATCATTCGCTCTCTGCCAGTTAACATGTTTATCCTTCTAGGAAATACTTTGATCTATACTGGCACTTGAAATATAGCAACCAATTTTACTAGACTGGAAATGAACAAACAAGATCTTGTGTGAATTGCCAAATGGCACAGCAAAATGCAGGATGCACGTTACAAAGGGTTGCTTAGCAACTAGAAAAGGCCATGCACTCCATTTCACTATTTTGGTTTGAAATAGAAAATAAATGGCCTTATAATTGTTTGAAATACACAGAGAGCTAGAACATAATGCTGCTCTGGAGAAATCTATTTGTGAGGAGTGTGTGTCATGGGAGACAGAGAGACTCTGAACTCAACATTCAATAGGTAAGGGAAGGAGAAACTGCCTTTCAGATATTTTGCCTTAAAATGTAAATGTAATGGTAGTTTAAGTTCAGTGCATGTATTCTGCTATTCAACCAGGATTTAAAACAATTGTTTATTTTTACCTTTCATCTTCAAATGTTAAGAGGGTTAGGGTTTTCTGCAAAGAACACTATTAGCTCATCCTCCATTTGCATGCAAGGAAGTGGAAGTTTAGAGCAGTTGGTACTTTACCCATGCAAGTTGCCAAACTGTGACTACATCACAGGCATCCTGAATCTAAGCAGTCTTAAAAAAAACAAACCAAATTCTGCATAACATATCCTCCTTCCTCTCTCTTACACAGCTCCCCCTATGCCTGGCAGCTGGTCTTAAATAGACAGATATAAATAATTGCCTAGCAATACTACAATACAGGAAAAAGAGAGGTCTCTAAAAACTCCAAGCCTCCCATACCTTGAAGTGGCTACTGTCTTTATTTTCCAGTATGAGAAACTGAGGAAGAGATCAAAGTGATTCTTGAAAAACACATGAGAAGCCTTTGGGATTTGAGAGCAGACTGTGGACACCTGACATTTATCTTGGTGGCACAGTCATCTCCTCTTCCACCAGTATTCTTTTTATACAGGGATCTAAAGCAGGTATGAGCACCCCTCTGATATTCCTTGGCATTAGAATCCCCTTGCAAACACCATCTCTGTGCTAACCCCCAGCCCAGGCAGCCCTGGTGCTGAAGCCAGTCCCACTGCAGCTGCAGGAACCTGCCTAACTCGCTGGGAGTAGAGCAGGGAGAGCTCTGGGGCTCAGACCTCTGTGGTGCAGCAGGGTGAGCTGAGCACAAAGGGGCAGCCACTGTCAGGAGGTGTCAGCCCCTTAATCTATGTAATGTGTAAGCTGCAGCCAACAGCCTCCTGCACAATACCAGTGTGTCTGCTGAAAATGGCATTGCCCATAATTGCATTGTTTGCTTAGAGGGGACCCGAGATCCGGATCAAGTTCAACAAGATCTGTGTCATTCTAGTTAGTGCTGTTTTTCAAGCACACCCCTTCAGTGAACAGAAAGCCCTCTGAATCCATGACCAGACTTTCAGGGCCAGATAACTGACTGTTTCGGTTTCTTTCAAGTTGTATCGCAGTAGACACACACAGTATCCTGGATACTGGACAGATTTAAAAGTGGGAAGAAAAGGTTCCAGCACACTGGCTTTAAAAGAGAGAACAAAGTAAGTGAGGATCAGAGGGAGGAAGGCGATCGCTATGACACTAAGACAATTAATCACTGCCAGATGTTAAGGGTCACACAGCACTGCATGCTGGGAAGATCAGCAGGGGTTCTTGGACAGGGAATAGAGGGAAAAAATAACCTGTCATGTCAGTGAACTAGTCAGGGGTTTAGGGTTCCTGTCGTTTAACTATTAGTGTGCTCTTAATAAAATGACAATGCATTGAAGAAGGGGAGGAAGATAGGGCAGTTGGCAGAAAAGAGGGAGTGACAGCTTAATAATCCCTGTCTGTCAAAAGCACTAAAAATACCATCCCAAATTCAACGTTCTTACTTTTGTAATGAACGCGCCAGGGTTCCTGTTTGATTAATAGAACACTTGTTGACTGACAAGGACAAATGTGCACATGGTCTGAACACAGCCCTGTGCATAAATAATTTAAATTGCATTATGGCCAGAGCTCAGCTTGCACTGGGGGTTCTGTGATAAACCCCTGTGTTTCAGCAGTTCATAACTTGGCCCTAAAAGAAAAGCTCAGACATCTTGAGCCTAAAGTTGGACCGAGAAGGATGGTTGATTTCTTTGAAGTATGAAAAAGAAACCAGTGCCCTCTAGAAACCACAGACCTTTGTTGGTGCAGTGATGGTGGCGTCTCTGCTGGCTCCAGTTGTGTATCTCTCACATTACAGCAAAAAGGAGATGGTTTTACACTGAATGATGCAAACAAATCTGTGTTCATGCTAATGCCCATTTATCCCCATTAACAGCAATGCTAATGACAGTGGTATATACTCACCCCTAAAATGGGGGAATGCTTGCTTGGAACTTTGGGAATAGTTTTCAAAGGGAAGAGTTTAGACCATTTTATAAATGGACACTTAGTTGCAAATATTTCCAGCATCCCTTTGGGAGATGAATTTTGTTTAGTTAAGCTGTTATTTGATAATACCCATTTCCATAAAAAATTCTGCTTTTGCCTCAAAAAGGAACATTTTCCACCAAAATTGGCACATATTTCTGTTCTTGAAACAATGTTTAAGAGCTTGTATATTTATGGTGTAATTATTTCTCACCCCTGAGGCCCTACACACAAACCCAATGGAAGGAAGAGACAATTAGGACAGTTGTAGATGTACTGAGTATCTCAGGTGAGGCCTAACTTCAAAATTTTTATCAACCTGTACAGCTATGACTGAATTCCCATATATCATATCAGTCACAATTCATTTTTCTCAACATTTTGCTCCCCTGATGAGAACGTGCAAACATTTGGCTGTTTTGCCATTTTTTCCCTGGCAAATCAGAATACTACTTTACGTCATTATTCAGGCAGTAAAACACCTATGCTTGTTTAAACAGTTCATCACATTATGATCAGAATGGAACAATAACCAAAATGAATATATTATCAGATTAAAAACTACAACAAAAATTCCCCAAAGAGTACACATATTTTGTCTAATAGCTTCTCTTTCTTTTCAATTTGTTTGGTCTTGTAATCTATCAGATGATTTTGGTGGCCTGAATTTCAACTTGGAGAAATGCTGCTGAGGACATTCAACTTTCTTAGTGCCATAAAAGCTGAGATTTCTTTGTTATCCTTAAGTAGGCTTTAGCTTTGCAGAATTGGACTCTCAAGGCTTAAGAAAACAAGCATTTGCCTGTTGAATTTTTCTGAGTATTTTTTCCTGGATATTGTTTGGGGTTTTTGTTTTCAATTTATAATGTAAATTATATAAATAACAAATTTATATACATGATATTCTATAAACATACAGAACTGCTTATTTGTCCTCTTCCATATTAGATAATATTAAGAACTACATAGGTAGTCCTCAAAATGGAATGATTTTTTACTTAGTAAGTCTCCTTCAATCATTGTAAGTAATTGTTTAATTAATTTCCTTGGCATGCTAGTTGGAGTTTCAAATTGTTCTTACAAATGTCCATAGATTAGGCAAAGTTTTGTAGCAACCTCTCTGTTGCAGTCAAATTGTACAAGGAAAAGGGGTGCACAGTAGAAACCTTTGCATTTTGTTGAAGTGACACAGACAAGACTTATCATTCCTCTTCCTAGAATTGCCAGTAAAGTACTTCAGGCAAAATTTGGCTCCTGCTTCAGTTGCCTCTTTTGTAAAACTGTACTGAGCCTTCCCTAGTCTTGCTAACCACATGTCCATTCCAGTAATAATGGACACCACGGTGCTGCACTATGGAATGTTTCAGGAGAAAGGAGAGTCAACAGGGAACTCATGTAACTCCCAACACGGAGTTAAGCAAGCACATCCTTCCTCAAAAACCTGCCAAAGCTGCACTCTGCAGAAGGCAAACCTGCTTTACACTTCCATCTGCCCAGCAATGTTATCTCACTGAGTAACCTCCTCTGAAGTTAATGTAGGAGTTTGAGTGATGCCATGCATTAAGAGTTAACTTATAACAGCCCTTCAGAGCATTAATGTCTCCTTTGTATCAACATTGAGAGATCACAGCAGACAGAACAGCTCCACTGCACAGAACACAAAACCAAGCCCAGGAACTTGCTGCTTAAGCTCCCCATCCCTGAATTTAGTTTCCTCTTACCCTTTCTTGTTGCAGTTCACTGGGGTCACAAAGACAAGAGATGGTTGCTGCTACTTTGCAAGGCTTCTGTTCACTGATGGCCCCTTATGCTGCGTCACTGCAAGGGTGCTTCAAGATGCAATGAGGGTTGAGATGCTCTGAGAGATGAAGGAGACACCTGAGGTACTGATGCACTGTCTGAATGAAAATAAACAAACAGAACTGGTTACACAACCATAAGGCACTTTCTTGTAGCATCTTCAAAAAGTAATTTTACCATGTGGGACTGTTTTTCAAAAAGCTAAAAAACATAAAAGTAAAACAAATGTTGTATAAATCCCAGACAGCTTTTGGGTATTTAATTTACCCCAAGAATTTTCAGCTTATAATAAAGAACAACTGAAGGTGACCAGACAGACAATACACCACATTGCTACATCTGTGTGCAACCCTGATGTTCCATCAGCCTGGGCTATATTAGCCACTTCATCATCCTGAGACATCTGGCAAATGACCAGTATACTTTTGTCTCCATGTTTTTATGGATATAACAGCTTGAACAAGATTAAAACTAAAATTTGCACCTTACAGAGATACATGTAATAGTCTGCATAATTGCACACGTGTTATGTTAGGAGGGCATTCTCATACATGAAACTTCCTTTGCTCCACAGCCCTTTCACACTTGAGTTTGTTTCATACTTCAGATTGTTCCCCTAAATGGCACACCATGATATACTGCTAAACATTCTGCTGGATCAGTCATACAATTACACATGTTTGTTCCACATGTGCCTACCAAAAATATCCAGATATCCAGAGCCTCCATATAGCTTCCTCCTTTAAAGTAAATAGCAAGGAATAGACTGTTTTATTCTTCTCCAAAGCTTTAGTCCTAGTAGACAAAAAAAGAGTTATAGTGCATGTGAAAAGCATGGGCAACAACAAAAAAAAGACACAAAAGATTTTTGCTGTTTAGCTTTTGTCATTTAAGCTATCAAACAAATAACAACAGCCAATTTGAATTGCAGTTAAATAAATTCCTATAGCACTTATTCACATTGGAAAATACAAAATAATTGATCAAAAGCAAAAAGCTCCCAGAATTTTTTTAACTTAAAGCTGATATATTAATAACATATAACAAACCACTTTTTCTGCTGTTGCAGGCAGAACAGGTCATCATTTTAATTTGTGACAATAAATAAGCCTATTTTCTTCTAAATGTGGGAAAAGTTTAAAAACTGATGTGAACAAAACATACCTCTTCTCTTCCAAAAGCAATGATGAGCATTTTATTTTTTGCTTGAAAGTGTACAAATAGGCAGATATAATTTCACCTACAGAACTATTAATTGTCAACTCAACCCACTTATTTGCAGGCCATAGCCTCAAATTGAATCATAAGGTTGATTATTCAGCTAGCAAACACACAGGTGAGCTGCTTGTTTTAAGAACATTTCATTAACCCAGTGGGGTCTTGGACTGAATGAAATGGCTTTGTTTTCCTTTGTGCATTGTGGTAGAATATGCACCTAAATTATCAATTATATTTAACCTCCTGCCTAAACTGGAGTAATGTGGCTGACAGGAGGAGAGCTGACTTATAAACCCAGCCAGATAGAGTGTTTTCTGACAGAGCTTCAACTGAACAACACACATGCAGACAATTAGCCAGGTTTTAGAGGCTGGCCCAAGCTAGAGAAGAGCTGGAAACGTGTTCCTTGGTGTTTCTCATTAGAGACTGACTGACTGAGAGGATTCCAGGCTGGCTCGCGCTGCCCTTTCATCTCACAGACCTGTGCATAATGTGCCCCAGACCCGGCAGTGTGAGCCTGCTGGGGCGAGTGCAGTCCAGGGGGAGGTTGATTTTCCCAGGGCGTGATTCTGGGGCAGGGAAGGCGGCAGCAGCTGGGTCCAGCAGGGTGCCCGGGCTGGGGCAGGAGTGCAGTTCCCTCTGCACACAAAGGAGCTTCCAGCACTTGGGGATCTCGGCCAGGCTGCTTGGGAAGATATCGAAATTCCCTGACAAGAAACGTAGGGTTGCTCCCCTCACACAAAAATTATCTAAACCCCAACCCAATCTGATAATGCTGCTTTAATTCACTACAACTCTGTTCTTTCTCATCAATCTCTTCAAGTGCAGCTACATCTGCACCTCCCTCAGTATTGGAAGGGATTTGCATTTGAAGTACAGTTTACTTCAGCAGTTTGCATGGAATAATTGATATCCTGTTATTTTTCCAAATGCTTTTACAAGAGTTCAATGTATCTTAGTCTGTGAGCATTCTCTAACATCTGTGTGGCAGTCAGATAAAACCCAGACATATTGATAAGGTGGTCCAAAGGAAGCATTAAATGCATAAATACAGTGTGTCTACCATGACCTGATATGTTAATTTCTTCATACTTTTCACAAATTCTCTTGAATTTTGTTGTTAAGCCAGGATTCCTCAGTCAGGGAAGCAAACCCAAGTCCAACATCCAATTTCCCTGCAGTCTTTCTAAACCACAAACTAGTACAATATACAGAGGAGAATATCTGCTATGACACATTTTCTCAAAGGGAATATTTACTGGAGAATCCATCACTCTAATGACATCTTTGTTAACCTCTATGTTTTAAATATTTTGCTACAAGTATGTCAATTCACATGAATTAGTGCAGCCTCTATTAGTCAGTAGTAGACCACCACATGTGGTTTTGTACAGAGAAAGCACCTCAGATCTCATGTAAAGAGTGTGCAAAGTTTGAATCTGTTTTATAAATCTGCAAAATATTCCAGAAATAATTTTCTTCTTTTTTACAGTAAACTTGGCCTCTCAAAGATGCATTCTGTAAGCACCTTTGCACATGATACTGAAGGAGAAAAATAAGTGAGATTCTTACTTTCCTTTTGCTCCTGTTTAATCTGATGACCCTCCTGAACTTAATGGTCCCAGAGAAACCCCAAACTGTCTTTTATTATTCTCCATGACCATGTTTTATTTCTCAAATATTTACTGCTCAGCTACACCTAATTGCCTTCAATTCTCTCTTAGAGAAGGAATGACTATCAGCCTCTTCATGTTGCTCTTCCCAATGCTGCTACATGAATGATACAGTTACAACCCTCCCAGTACTTATTTTCTTACAGTTAAACCATCTGGAGACGGTTACTAACATGAGAATCACAAAAGCAGTAAAGTTTCTAGCCTTTGTGGTTTCTGAGAAAAGTCACTCAAACACACTCTACAAGCCCACAAACCAGAAAAAAAAATTGTAATTTTATTTATTGAAAGTGTCATTAATTTTCAGTACCTAGGGGTGACAATACCATTGATCCTCTCATGCCTGATGCCCTGACTCCTCTAATGGACAGACAAGGGGGTGTTTGGTCAGGGGAGGGGCATTTTCCTGTGCTAGGGAGGATGCTCAGAGCAGGGACACTGCTGGCCAGCTTGTGGCCATGCTGGAGCAGGAAAGGGCAGTGCCACCCTGCCCATGAGCAAGTGTGACCTGCAGCCTGTATTTATTTCCCACTGCAATGTACCTATTGTTCCTATTCTCCAAGGCACTTGCACAAAGGCTTACATGTGCAATAATTAACAAATAAAATAGCTGTACAAAAGCAAAATTTAGGCTCCTATCCAAGATTCACACGGTTTTGGCATTTGCTGAAAGATAAACTATGTGTTTATAACACGTGAAAATTTCCAACTAGTACACAATTATTTTTTTGTGAATCAATCTTACAATTTAAAAATACTTATAGATTTACAGTATGGAGGAAAAGATTTCTAAAAAGATGTGTTAGGGAAAGCTTTTAAGAGACTACAAGACAGTTTGGTTTATATGAAATATACCTGATAGAAGAGAAGCTCTTGGAAAGCTTCAGAAACTTTAATGTGAAGCCCTTGTCTTGAAATCTTACTCACGTGAGTAAAATAACAGCCAACTGATCCTTTCAGTCTGACAGGCTGTAACTTTCTGAGCCTGCCTTGGTCACAGAGGGCCAAGAAAAGCTGTCTTACATTGTCCTTCCACTCTTGTTCCTCTGTTTCTCAACTTTTTCATCTTTCTTCTGAATTTAGAGAGTTTCCCACTTCTAAACTCTCAAGCTTTCAAAGTGTGACACATGAGTTTGGCACACCTTGTTAACTTAATATTTCACAGAAAAGACTTTCCTTTGGAAATATTCTAGGTCAGCCTTACCACTGCTATGAGAAGTAATTTTTCTAAGGTCTTGATACACGTAAGTACCAAGTATCCTCAAATTGTGAGATCAGAATTAGACCCTTTATGGTTTCCCACTGGAAGCTGATAAAAAAAAAATCAGAGGAGCAACTTTGGTCCACTGCCATCAATGGGAATTGGGAAGAGTCACAAGGGAGAAAATATTCCTAAAACAGAGATGGAAATAGAGAAGGAAAAGCATGAAAGGGCTTCCAGTCACGCAGTGGATGTTGCTCCCTTGTGAACACACTCTGATGTTTTCTTCTTAACAATGAACAAAAGCTATTTTCTCAGAGGAAGAGGACAGGAAAAGGCTCAAGCTAAAGCTGGGTCAGGACTGGTTAGCATGGAGCTTCTGTGTCCCTGTTTAGAGGAGTTGGAGTCCAGTTAAAAGTCTCTCTTGCCTGTCCTCAGCCTTTGCTCTCCCTTTGAAGTCCATCCTGCCCCTCCAAAACATTGCTTGCTGGGTGTCAGCCTTCTGTAAACTTCCCTGTCCCTCAGCTCCCTATCCAGTCCAGCTTTTACCCACACATCCCTATAGATGTGCTGCCTTTCCTTTCCAAATCTGCAGCTGTAAATTGTCCCGCCTAAAACAGGACCATTTAGGAAGAACCAGATGAGAATTTAATTTGAAAACATTTTTCCAGCAGTAAATAATAAAGCTTTATCTGAATGGACCTTGGTTCCTGCCACATTTTATATTCTTGCTTTGAAGCTCTACTAGCACCTCTGCATCAAACAACTTTTCATGTGTTTTGAGAATTTGGGGAGTTTTGAATTTTTTTTTTCATTAACTTCTTCCTTTCAGACCTAGAGGTTGAAAAGAATTGAGGAAACACATAGTTTTTGCCAGCTGAAGTAAGATACGGAGATTTCACAGCCCTGAACCATTCTCACTGTTTAAGCCCAGAGCTTTCAGCCAAGAGAAGCAGCACCAGGCCATGATTGCCTCCGATCCAGCCTGGGGTGGGAGAGCACAACT